TATACGAAACGGGGTAACGGTAGCTATACGAGCTTTTGATTCAATAAAAAACACAGTTAACAGATAAAAGTAGGTTAACATGATACTCAGTTCATTAAGTAAGGAGATATCAATAAGTGCACTTCAAAACTACAGAAAATTATAGTGTAACATCTACGTAAAGTGAGTTATGTAACTGAACTGAACGGTATAACGAATGTGATATTGTGAAATCTTAATACATTATCATAAAGATCGACCTTGAAAAAGCATAAATACAAGTGAATAAAGCATTCACTGCATAAAAGTTAAAACTGTAAAATGTTTAATTACTGTATTAATAGGGTGAGATCACAATGAATATCCATTAATTGCAAATACTTTTGGAATAAGTCCACCGAAAATATAAGTGGTAAATATATCAGCTACATAATTTAGAAAGAAATATTACTCCTTTTAAAGTATAGTTATTAGTGTCTTATAAATAAATAAGTCGTATTTTATAATTAAAGAGCTGTTTTTCCGCTACTACTTTGGCGTAAAATATAAAACTGTAACCCATGGATGATATAGTTTCCAGCAGGTGATAGAAATTTCAATATCGACCCACAAGTTTTGAAGTATATTCTAATATAATATATTCAAAATGGCAATATTTAGAGTGAATACAAGTTGTACATTTTTAACGTATACTCTTTGGCATTTCGAAGTCATCTGCTTTATCTGTGTCACACAACTAATGAGGCAGGTCTGACACCATAGTGGTGTGTTTATGCTCTTATAATTGCGATACAAAGTGCTCTGTTATTTATATCCGGTTCATTCGAGTGTTCTTTATCGAGAATAAAGGCACAAGAGAGCTATGGTTATTGACGGCTGAACAAGTAATTTATCAAAATTAAAATGTGTTGGCTTGTTTAACGCAAAATATAGTCATCAGACGCTATGGATGTTGTAAAATAGGTATAACAACCCATGACCAATTCTTGCAATTGCGTCAATTATTGCAGATACAACTCTGACCAACGACTTAAAGAGTCTTTCCATGAATGGAAATGCTCAAGATACCAAACTTTTGAATACATATTCTATGATAGCCCCTAACGAAATTTGTTTAACCTCTGCATCTCAAACTGAACCTGTGCCAGTGCCATTGAGATCTTTAGAAAATACAATTGTTAAAGAAAAACAGAAAAACGAGGCCTAGAAAATATACGTGATGATTTCATAAATAAATGAGGCTTACTGAATCTAACTAAACTAATAGCACAATATCATTGGTGCAGTATTCCCATAAAAGGCTTGCGAAGTTGCTACAGAATATTAAGGTAAAATAAAAAGTAATGAAATTGATGATTTTAAGCTGAATAGTGCAATAACTAACGTATGTGATAAATTTATGCATAGATTATCCGTTGTATATTTACTTGTAAGTTATTGCTCACCTGCTTTGGTATTTTGTAAAATATAGCCTCGAATATCGTAAATAATCGAAAAAACCTGTATTACTTATTTACGTAGGTTTTATTTGATTGAACCTCTAATGCTGCGAGCGTTGTGTTTGATGCTGCATTTCTTATAAAATAGCATCACCGAATAAACAGCGTTTGTTTAGACCAGTTACGGCATTGAACCAGACTACACATGCAATCGATAGAACCAAGCAATTCGCATAAAACCTGCTTGGATGGGAAAGAAAAGTTTATGGTCCAACAGAAAGCATATTATTGTGCTGATGACGAGTGATCATGTCCACAGAAAAGTAGTCGTAAAGTCATAAGAGTAAAACTTTCATAACTAACATTGTAATATATTCATAAATTCTAGACGACATTGTTGCCATACGACCATAAGATAATAATAGGTGGTGTAGGTGCTACTGCTTCATAATTATTTCGTGAAGTTATTAGACGAGCAGACACCGTTTGTGTGTTAATACCGAACAATATTCCCTTGTGCAGACCTTAGTCTATAATGTATGACTGCAGGTAATACAATTAGGAGATGATAGAGCGAGTAGCTCGGTAGCGTAGTAGGCTAGCTTGGAGGGTCATGGCCTGTTCTCCTTAACCATCCATAAGGAAGGCCTGCAGTGGGGACGTTAAGGGCTGATGATAATGATAAAAGAGCGCGACGTTAAGGAGCTCGATCCTTTATCATAGTTTTATAGTGGTTAGCGCGTTCGTTCTTTAATACCTACGGTTGCTAAGCAAATTTTGCAAGGTCCAGTCATAGGGTGGGCGATCAAAAAAATATTTTTTCGAGCTCTTCGGACCTTCGGAAGGCATGTTGAGCTTTTGGTCTTTATTGTATCGGCAGGCACCAATCCTGGGTTTTCGAGGTGAGTCGTGGCACATTCTCCATTTTCGATTCCAATAAAGTCCCCGTTAATGGGGACATTAATAGACTGGTTATGATCTCTGAAAAAAAAGGAAAAGGTGGGCACATATTCAAAAGCTCGATTTCCAATTTACTCGAACTTTAAAATAGCATTTTTATGTTATTTTAAAGTGGTTATTTCAAATTTTTCAAATTTGTTTATTACGAGTAGAACGAACAGAATAATGAAAAAAAAATACAAATGAAATAGTTACTTAATATTATTTATATTTATTGGTGTCAATATGCAAATGGATAGTTTCTTTCATAAATCATAATAAAAAGTTTCAATAAGAATTATTCGATGTAACAATTTCCTCTCAGAATACATCCGACAGACAATCTGCAACAAATCACAAATCAACTTGAATAGAGAAATCTCTCATACATCCTTATAAAGCAGACAAATCGAATATTAATAAATGTCCCTTCGATACTTCTGGCTGGTCGTAAACGTCCATATTCGGGAATGTTACCCAATACATGCATCATAATAATGAAAAAGATCGTGATCTCTTGGTTCGTTTTCCATTACGAAATCTTTATATTTGTGTTTTCATGAACTTTTGTTTATTATGTATATAATACTATCGAGAAATTAGAATAGCTACTGGCATAACTGAAATTAAATAAAATAACTAATACTTGAGATTTTTTCATAGTTAATTTAAAGAGCTTAATTTCCAAATAAAATTATTTTAGTATAATGAAAACATACTTGAAATATGCTATTATTTATCTATGTACCTCGTGTTCTTATTAATGAATGTGAAGTTAGTTGAATGAATGAATAAGTATCCTTTCTGTTCATCATCATCATCACTCGAAGTTATAATTATGTTATATAGATAGTGTCTATAATCCCAGAACTTGTTTAAGTAGTCGACAAAATTGTCAGTGTTTTGTTCTATAAAATTTACTATTCAAGTTAGTTAAATATTTTTTTAAATACAAGTTAACATCCTAACAATAATACCTATAATGCAATGCCCACAGTAGAAGTAGTTGATTTTTTCCCTTTTAATACTAAAATATCAAAGGCATTGTAAACTGAAATGGATTCATGATGTCTAGTCAAAGCAAAAAAAAATATTTGCAATATTTCGTTAGAGATTTAGATAAACATCTTCATGAACTAGACCTACATCAAATATTTTCAATCTATTTACGTATCTGTTTCTTTAATGGATTTATAAAAAGCAAAACGTTAACACCCTTTATTTACTGTTGGACATCTCAAAGAAAAGAGTTATTATGAAACCGAGACCATTAGCTGTTTCCTGTTTTAAAATAGTTCCGAGACGTCCTTCTTGTAGGTCGGCTTGCATCTTGTTATTTGAGCTCTCATCTAATTTTGGTGAACTATTATCGTTGGCTACTTAAATAATCTTAACCTTCTTGGTACTATAAAACATATTTTTCATTCTATTCCACTAATTTCTCGATAGTATTTTCTTTTCCACAATTATTTTATTGAAAATTTTATTGAAAATATTATTTGAACTCGTAAACGGAATCCTAAGTATACGAATCTCATTACTTTTCAAACTATTTCAATGGCCGTCACAAAGTTACAAAACCGAGACGTCCAACGCTTCAATATTACATTTTTAGTGCCGTCATCCTATGCGATGTTTTTGCTCATTTCAACAGCGATTACACTTTTTATCTTTCACAAAGTGACAATTCATGTTTCATTCTGTATTTAGTTGTTCAGAAACCATTACAGAATTCACATACATATAAAAGAATCGATCAATTGAAAACTTACAAAGTAAGACACTTTCTTTAGTAATGTTTTGTGCGTTTCAATACCCATCATCCACTTACAAATACTTTCTGACGCCGATAGCAATGTACGTTCTAATCAGTGTTAGTCAACTTTCACAACGGTGAGAGTATCATACACGAAAAAAGGATGAGAGCATCTATCTTAAATACTGGAATTCATGCTTAATTTGGTAATTGTAGGAATTCCCCTAATAATCGGATCTGGTCAAGTAGCCAAGCGAATGGAATTGCCAGTAATTGCTTGTCCACAATTAGCCACTTGAGCACGAGGTCAAATATCTACGTTTCCCAAATATACGTTTTCAAATGCTGAAAATAATTGACAATGTTTCTTAAGTCTTTTGTATTCTTATTTTAAATATCAAACTACACTAAAAGTTTGCCATTGCAGTATTTCTTGTGAACACATCGATAGATTTATTTGCGTTATCGGCGCTTTCAGGGTTGGTAAACAAATTTTATTACGATGTTACTTCAGAACTTCTACCGGTCACGATATTGTAACGCTAAACGGTTATCGTACATGCAACTGTAGCATCAAGGTAACTGTTGTTGCTTTTAGACACACACATATTCGTTCTGAAAACGAAGGTGCGTAAGGAAAGGTGACTGGGGAAATCTAATATATCAAACTTTTTGTTGGTGTCATGAACTTACGAAAAATGTGTTGATAAATTGCCCAATGGTTTTTGTTCTATCAAAGTTATTTTGATCAGCATTAAATTTTTACCTGTAGTTTGTACATAACGGTGAGATACAGATTTTATTGTTTATGAGGAAATTGCAGTGCAAGCCAAGATGATCTATCATTAAGACCCGAACGAAAGCTTAACTGCATTGTTTTTTCGTAGGTTTCCGCTAAACCTTCGGCAACAAACTCAAAATGACGATAGATCGGGCCGGTAGACCGCCTGCACCACGAAGAGTAGCTTCTACTTACCGAAGCTATGATGAACTCGGTATTATCGATAGAAACAAACCGTTAAGATACCGTCATGGAGCTGTCGAAGATTTGACAGGAATAGAACAGTCGAGAACGTACCGATCTTACGAATCTCGACACTTAGATGACATAACAGTTATTAGTTCAGAAGATATTAAACCGAAACGGAAAACGATGGAAGGCCTAGCCAATGGGTTTCGAAGAACTTTTTCTGTTAGAAGCAAACGAGAGGAACCTGAGGTGATTCCATTGGACACTTATAGTGTAACTTGTGAAGAGAACTTTGCTACAGTTAGGGGTGCACCATTTGGTAGGCGTAGATCATTGTCTCGTGACAGAGGATCTTTATTAGCTAGGAGCTCTTCAGAAGGAGATGTCAGGATGCCATTGCCCCGAGCTCCGTCGGCTCCGACGCCGCGCCTTCACCGATGCCTCCGAGCACTCGGTGGCAGCTGGAAGAACCTTTTACTATGTGAGTCTTCAAGACTGCCTTAGCTTACTGTGTATTATAATTCAGTAACTGTGAACTGTGACGCAATAACACCATCAACATTAACAACATAAGCAATACGTAAACATAACTTTTAACCTTTTGAGATCCAGTTACGCTTCTCATTATTTTGTTATTTAAAGGCAGTTAACCGTTTACAGCGCTCGCCTGGTCTGCCTTAATTATTGAAGCGACGGGTACAAATGACCGCGAGATGCTTAGTTAGTTTAAACCAGCGATTAACCACAGGGCTTAACCGAATTAAACGCTTTCTTTTTTATGTAAATTAACCAATTGTTTGTACTGTTAAAGAGACAATTAATTGGGGTATTATTCCGTGCAGCCATATTTTATTGGTAAATGATACCACTTAATTTAGAATGACATAACGGCTGTGTAATAATGATAGCTAATTAATTTTGATTTAGATTCGGCCTCTGTGTAATACGATTGACTAGTATTGCATTACGATACCTATAGGCGTTTATTTGAAAAACATTTAGATGGAAAATAAAACATTTTTTATTTTTTTGTTTGTACATTTCGTTCTTTTAGGTACTCAATCCCAATGTAATAGGTATATGGTTATTTTTAATTGACTTGTCATAACGACATGCATGACCGACTAGCACATATATGAGGTTTCCGGCGACTGGGACCGCATAAACTCGCACCGCGGTCCCAGATTCCAGATAAATATACCTCGTGTTCTTATTAATGAATGTGAAGTTAGTTGAAAGGTATTTGGTTATTTTTAATTTATTTGTGATGATGACATCCATGACCGACTAGCACATATATGAGGTTTCCTGCGACTGGAACCGCAAAAACTCGCACAGCGGTCCCAGATGCCAGATGAATTTAATTTTAAAGCTCTTACAGCGCCTGTGACTATCCGTGCATGATTAAAAAAATCTATTGTTCGATCTAAAACTAGTACAGTCAGATGAAAAGATATTTAACGTAAAATTAAAAATCTGATTTAAAAATCCATATACTTTATTTATATGTAGATAAAGTTAAAATTATATTGAACTAGAGCTTTTTATTGCTCGTTGCTATAAATATTTTTTTGGTTTGACTTTACTGTAAAATCACATACAGAAAAATCATAAAAACTCTAGTTCAAGCGAACGAACTAGAGGTTTTATGATTTTTCTGTATGTGGTCCCAGTCACTGGAAGAAAAAATAGAATCAATAAATGAAACAACTTTTAAACGGTTTCATCGCGTGTGTATTTTTCTTTTATTGAATAAGATGTTGATTGTCTTTTTATTTAAGAGAATAGTATCTATAGTATTGGTATGATACTTTCAAAACTATACTATTGGACACATTCACAATTCTCCAATTGTTTTGAAAGTATCTATACTCTTAATTAAACAAACAATCAACACCTTAGTTTACCTCAATATTATCATTTAAATTGTCCTTTTTTCTAAAATTCTTGCAATAAATTAACAAACTAAAATTTACTTAACTATTATGATATTTTGACGATTATTCATAAACATTTCGATAATTTTATGTGCTATTTATATTTTCTGTTTTCAAATGACGTCACGTGGGTGTTATTTAGACAATTAAACATTAGCAACTTACGGAACTTATACATCGTTGTTTCGAATGTAGAGTCTTTCATTCGAATTTATTAAGTTTTATTTAAAGCTCATCTCAAAAACACTTAAAAAACTGTCATACATGTAAATTTTAAGATTACATTATGAATGCAAAATTCACAAAAAATATGGATATTTGTTTGATTAGATATTTCCCTATTCTGATGAAATCTTCATGTTATCATTAAGTTAAACTTACTTATTATGTACTTATCATAAAAAATCAAAAGGTTATTAATTTAAATATCTTTTGAAGTCGGCGTTGAACTTCAATACATAATCAACAGAATATGGAGGATTTGTACACATCACATATATTTTTATTTATAAAAGAAATACAGAAAAACGCAACGATTAAGTTGATAATATATGAAACATTAATACCCTGACCAAAACCTCTTGAGGTTTTAGCACATTATACACATAAAACAACCCTCCCCTGGGAAAGAGACCCGGGAATCCGTCTGAGTTACCAGAACGCTTACCCCCCATCACTGTAGAAAACCTGGATTAATTTAAATTAGAATGTTTGCTTTCCACGGGATTTCTACCATGTTGATGTACCGACCTCGTTTTTATTGATCACGGAGTAAGTGAAGTTTTTGCAGGTAGGTGTCATATATCTTCCTTCGAGTCCTTTAACGTTCGATACCCTTACTTCTGTTCACTATGGCACTACTAACTTGACGGGAACTCAATAAAAACAAGGTGTACATGGTAGCAATCATGTAGAAAACTACCATTCTACCATATTGAGATATCCACAAATAAGGTAAGTCAGCCACAACCCACATTAATGATAAAAATACAAATAAAGTAAATATAACGATATAAATTTTTATATTACCTAATAACATAAATAGCATGTAAATGATCCGCCCCCACTTCTATTACACCTACTACAACGTGTAGGAAGCAATGCCAATAATCTAGGTGTTTATATACAAATGTATTAATAATCAAATGAATATGGTAATACAAGTTATATAATCCTTCATTGTGTTTCGGAACGACTACGGCAGCTGTTAAGGGTAATGTATGTACTTTTAATGGACTCCGTAATGTTACTATTAGTAACTTACTAATTTGAAATAAGATTAAAAAAATACGAAGACAACTATTAAAGTTTTCATTAGATTCTATTTACTCTAAGTACTTAAATACGCATCGATAACAGTCAAAGAAAATATAAACAAAGTAAACGTTTAGCTATCTTCACATTTTCCATAATTGAGCGATTTTTGAATAATTTTTAATATTTGATAAATTTTTCATTCACAAAGACTAAGTTTTCATCAAGAATATTTTTTTTTTATTTCTATTATAACAAATAAAAAATATTTTTCTAAGCTTTTATGATATTTAATTTACTTGATGCGTCTCTTACTATACACGACGACAAAGGTGCTATCTACATAGTATAAGTAATTTTACCCCTTCAGTACCGAAGTCATTAAGGAAATTACCTTTTTAATTTTCCACAAAGTAGATACCACACAGGTTTACTGTGCATCTATTTAAGTAAATTCACAGTGGCCTATTTTTCTACATCCTGTTAAATAAAGATTGTAATGAAACCTCTTTTACCCGGCTACAATTTAAAGGTTATGTTTTTGTTCGTATCTTGTATGTATGTAATATTCTTTATTATCTCATGTCTTCAGAACCATAGAACGGATTTAGATAATAGGGATGATGACTAATTTTTATTTGTTTGTCCGTCAGGTAGTGTTAAAAAATATTAAACACGTATTTTTTTATTTTTTTCGTAATCATAAAATTACGGCGTTACATGGAGTTGAAATGTCGCATGACGTCACGTTAGGGTACATTTTCTACTCAACTGTAACGTAGCGAGCCCCCACTCCTCAACTTTAATGCCTGTTATCTAAGCTATTTCATGTTAAATTGAAGTAAAAAAAAATACGTATCTAATATTTTTCTATTATCTGACTGACGGACTAAATAGAGTTGCATTTCTTTACCCAGTCATCATCCCTATTGAGGTATAGTTAGATTTGTAACGTTAAAAAAATCAAATATGGCGGCTGTGCGACGTCGTTATATTAAATGATATTTTTTGATTCATATACTACAATATCGGTGTCAAATTAAAGAGCTCAATACAAGGTTTCCAAAAAGGAATATCATTATTATCATTACCGTAAAATAATACAGTGATAAAGTTTAAAAATATAGACTTTGTTTTTTCACTTTCTGAACCAACCTAATGGTTTGTCTAACTAAAAATCAACAATAAAATTATAAATATAATAAAACAAAATCCCGCCTGTATGAAAAACAATTAACTGAAAAGGCTGGAACAAGTTAAAAAATTTATGAAACATCATCATTCAGTCGGAGGCATGCACAGAGAATAATTGGACTTATTAATATTCAATTATTACTATTATAATAATTGAATATTTTTATTGATTTAATTAGTAGCACGATGGCGTAGTGAATAAGCGCCGCGGCCCGCGATCGTTAATACCCTCCAATCCGCATTGGGACCAAGAGGAGGCCTGAATTGCGGATGTAAAAGGGCTGCAAATAAATCAAGATATTTCAAGTCTTGACAACTCCGGATAGTTTACAAAACTTCAATATGCGTTTTCCAACACCTATTGAACTAAGAAAATCAGGCAAAAAACCAATGACAAGTATTAACAGTTCAAAAAATAAATCACTTAATCATATGGATTAAGTTCAAATATTTTTTTTACAAAGATGTATATTTTGATAGGTTAGATACACATTTTTGAAGATACATATACACATCTATTCATATAATGTAATCTAGTTCACATCTGGATAAACAATGTTAGTTATTATCATACACTGTGGGAATAAAATGCCTTTAAGTTTATTTTATTATACACAAGCCAGAATGGAGTATATAAATAATCTAAGATTCTACTTCTATTTCAAATGAGTCTGGCGCTATTATTTGCATCTTTATTGTATGTAAACAATTATATCGACGCCGAAAGCAATTTATTGGCACACCTAAGTACGAAAATACATAAATGTATACAACAAGACAATTAATTTACTCATAATTTATTACAACATAGAATGCGGTTGAAATAAATGCAGTAGATATCGTAAAATAGAATATAATTGGTAATTTTGTAACTATTTTTTTTCATGATACTCACCCGTTCGGCATTTTTGCTTTTGTGACATTTACCATTGGTTTGTGCTTATTAAATTCGCTGTGATTTATTTATAAACCTAAGTACTTCTCCATATCCCAATTGTATATATTATTTTCATAATACGATAGTTTTTAATAGAGCGGGTATCTTTGCAGACGTCGATGTACCTCTATATTTACTATTTTTTTAAATTATTGCTTT